AGGAGGAGGAGGAGGAGGTACTTTGGTGTTCCGCGCTGACGAAGTGATCATTGAGGAGGAAGGAGGAGGAGATGGGGGAGCAGGGAGGATGCCGGGAAGGGAAAGGAGGAGGAGGAGGAGGAGGAGGAGCGAGGGAGCTTGGAAAAGGAGGCGGAGGAGTTGGAGGAGGTGGAGGAGGAGGAGGAGGAGAAAGAGGAAGACTGGCCATCGCTCCTCCCTGCACCCCCCCTCCCCTTCTCCCACTTCCCCCACTTCCCCCTCTCACTTCTCGGTGGAGCTTTTTGCGGGGCCATGAAGGACGTGAAGCGCGTCCCCAAATTGGGCGGTGCCGAAATGCGCCCGCACCCACTGGGGCCTTCGGTGGAGCTCCCTATGGGGCCACGAAGCGTGGGAGAGTCGAGCCGAAAGAAACAGAAGCAGGGCAGAACGGGCAAGGGGGGAATGCGGAGCGCAGGCTGCAAGGAGAGGGGCATGTGAGTTGAGCGGGCGAGAGGAGAGGAGGGAGGACGGAACGGGAGGGAAACAGTGAGACGAGGGTCGCTGCTGAGTCAAAACGAGGACCCGATACTACAGGATGACTTGGTCAAAAAGCGTTGCCCCGCTTTTGAGCCAATTGTGAAACAGGACCAGGGCAATGGCAACGGACACGACGACGACGACATTGACAGAGTTCGCGGGCCCGATCGGGGCCCAGACGGTTTCGAGGAAGAGAATAGGAAGAAACGGAGAAACAGAGGAGATGCAGGAGAAGGGGGGCCCACTCCTCATACTCTTTCTCCATTTCTTCCATTTACTCCTGTTATTTGACGAGGTCGCTTCACGGTTCTTCGACAAGCTCGTTTGATTTGGTGTCTGCTACGTGTGTGTCGTTCACATGTTTCTCATGCTCTTCCTCACCCCACACAGTGAAATAATTATGTTGATGCTGGTGATGATGCCAATGCTGGTGATGGTGATGATACTGATGATGATGACGATGATGCTGATGATGAAGATGATGATGCTGATGATGATGATGATGATGACGATGATGATGTTGATGACGATGCTGAAGATGATGATGAGGGTGGTGGTGATGGTGGTGATGGTAAGGGTGAGTGTGATGGTGAAGGTGGTGATGGTGGTTGTGGTGATGTTGATGGTGACGGTGGTGATGATGATGATGATCATGATCATGATGAGGATGTTCATGATGATGGTGATGCTGATACTGATAATGACTGTGATTGTGATGCTGTTGATCTTGGTGCTGGTGATGGTGGTGCTGATGATGTTATTCTAAGTATGGTGGTGATGCTGATGATGTTAATGGCGACAATGACCATGTCAATGGAAGTAATCATGATGGTGGTGATTCTGGCCATGATTGCGGTGATGATGAAAACGGTGATGATGGTGTTGATGTTGGTGTTAATTAGTGGTGGTGGTGATGACGATGATGATGTGTGTGCGGTGTTGAAGTTGGTGATGTGGATGAAGATGGTGATGCTGCTGCTGTTCTTAGTTGTGAGGACGATGATGATGATGATGATGCTGATGGTGTTGATGCTGATGCTGATGAGCATGGTGATGGTCATCATCATAGTGATGATGATGATGACGATGACGATGATGATGATGATGATGATGATGATGATGATGATGATGATGCGGATGGTGATGATGAGAATGATGCTGATGACCGCGGTGGTGGTGGTGACGACGCGGACGGTGAGTACGGTGTTGATGATGATGAAGACGAACATGTTGACGATGACGATGGTGGTGATGGTGGCGATGGTGATGCTGATGGTCGTGATAATGGTTAATGGTGGTTATTACGTTTCATATTGTGATGCTGATGATGAAGAGGAGGTTGAGGATGTGCGATGGTTGTGATGTTGATGATGATGGCGATGATGGTGGTGGTGACGATGATGATGGTGGTGATTAGTGTGCTGATGATGTTGACGATGGTGGTAAAGCGCGTCCCAGTTGGGCTTGTCCAGGGCATGGCATAAACAAGAGCCAGGCGGCTCATCAGTGGAATATGTCTCGTCCCGCGATGAGTTCGAGGATTTAATATGCAAGGTTACATAACAAGCACCTTGGGGCGTACCCAGCAGTTTCTAAAGACGTGGCGGTTATACGCAGGACCGCTCAACGCGAACGAGCATGTTAAAGGACCCGCAGTGCGCAGGAGCACCCCCTCGGTACGCAGGGAACCCCGAGGTCTCGGTTGGGTCTGCGTGGCCCTCCGCTCCGCTGGATGTCCCAGGAGCCCACGAGAGTGCCTACAGCTTCGCACATCGCAGCCCCCCAGGGAGCCGCGAGGTCTCGGCTTGGTTTGCGTCCCTCCCCACACCGCCGTGATTCCCATGAGCCCACGAAGCCCACAGAACTGGCGACAGTTGCGCAGTTCGCAGCCACCAAGGGAGCCGCGAGGTCTCGGCTGGGTGCGCCTAGTCCTCCACTCCGCTAGATCTCCCAGGAATGGTGACAGTTCTGCTTTGCGCAGCCCCCCAGGGAGCCGCGACGTCTCGGCTGGGGCTGCGGGGCCCTCCACTCCGCTGAACCTCCTGGGAGCCCACGAAAGTGGGGACATGACAGTCCAGGGGGCAGCGCCGGAGGAGGAGGAGGGTGGAGGAGGAGGAGGAGGAGGTAACGCCACAACCTCGCTCTTCAGGTCCGCTCAACGTCAAAATGAGGAGGAGGAGCAGCAGCAGGAGCAGCAGGAGCAGCAGGAGCAGCAGGAGGAGGAGGAGGAGGAGGAGGAGGAGGGGGGGAGAGGGAGGATGGAGACCACAGTGGTTTATTCAAAACGAGAATACAACACACCGCAGAGTTGGGGAACAAACAGAACCCAATACAGGAGGGGTGGAAACAAATTGCCGCGGCAGCTTTTCGTTTAGATCGGTTTGACCACCCTAGCTAGCCCCACCTGTACACTTGTTGCTTGATCTGGCAGACCCTGCAAACGTTTTGCTCGAGACCGAGTTTGGACTTACCCCAGTGGGAGGAGGCGGAGGAGGAGGACCCAGACATGCGATGCCTTGATTTGTTCAGTACCGGGTCCAGGAGTCTGGGCTTTTCCCCTGGGACCAGTAATTATCCTAGGTCGTTTCCTGGGGGTCCCGAAGCCCAGCGAGGGCCTCGAGAGGCCGAAAACGGCCGTCGTCGTCGTCGTCGTCGTCGTTGTCGTCGCTGCCCGACGGCGCCGGCGACAGCGCCGGCGCTCGGCGTCGTCGTTTGCCACTGGCGAGGGGAAGGAGGGGGGGCCGGTTCGAACCCCCCCCGCCTCGTACAATTCAGGCCCCCCCTCAGTTCGCACGTACCCCCCCGTTTTGGGGTTGGGGCGGTTCGAAGCCCCCCACCCCTGCAAGTCACGGGCGCCCACCCCCTCGCCCCCCCGCCCGACGCACCGATTTTTGCGTCGCAGCGCGGCAGAGTCAGTCCGCACTCGCGTTCAGGCACAATCCAGGCAACGGCATTGCGAATGGTCCCGAGCGCAAGAGGAGAGGAGAAGAGGAGGGCCAGCCGCGGGAGTCAAGCAGCGGCGAAGCGTCCCGGCTCGCCTATAGCCCTACCAAACAATGTTCTTCTAACCTCTCGTGGCTTCCACGGACTATTTCGTGGTACGACCATAGGAATGCCGGGACGGTTGGTCCCTGCTCAAGGGAGGGAGAGAACGCAGGAGGGGGCGGGCGCACGCGCGCGGCGAGGCCGCAGCGGGGCGCGGGAAGGGGCGGCCGAGCCAGTGCAGCATAGCCCCCGGCGGCGGCGCGGAGGGGCGGCATCACGCCCGCGCCCCCAAGGGAGGGTGCAGCGGCTGCTGTCCCAGAGATCCAACGCACTGCAAAGAATCTCAGTTCCCCCAGTTGCAGCGCGAGGTCGACCTGGGGGCTGCGCCCTCGGTGGCAACCGAGAAAAAGAAGGATTTCGTTCGCGACGTGGAACGCTCGGGCACTTCTCCGCTGGCGTGGCAGCATGGCACTTCTCCGACGGGTTTTTTCTCAGCTTTCGGCCCTTCGGGGCCCTCGCCAGGCCCCGGGACAGCCAGAAAGCGACTCAGGATGGGAAACGGGTCCTGGGGAGGGGGTCGAGACTTCCGGGGACTCCGCACTGGTAAAACCCCACGCCGTCGGATCTCCGGGGCGCAGGGTCGAAGTCCGGCAAGACGGAAAGGCGGAGGCGGGAGCAGCAGAGGCGGCGATGGCCCCGGCAAACTGGGAGGGGGCCAGGTGCGACTGCTTGGCGGGCTGCGCGGGTGGGCTGCAGTGGCTGACCGGGCGCGTGTGGCGGCCCGCGGGGGCAGGCGACACCGCGGTTGCGAAGGTCGGGAGACTCTTCATGGGGGGGGATCCCATGGGGGGATAGGATCCCAGGGGGGGGATCCCATAGGATCCCCTGGGGATCCCATGGAGAGTCTCCCGAGAAGGCAGGGGCGCGTCCGCAGCGCGAGCTGGGGCGGTGGGCCCGGAGGGAGGGGCCGTGAGGGAGGCCGGACGCAGCCAGGACGGCCGGTGGGGATCCGCCAGAGCCCGGGCGGCCGCGAGAGCGGCAGCGTGGGAGCCACGCAGCAGGCCGCAGGCGGGCGGAGCGGGGGGAGAGCAAAGAGGCAGCAGAGCCAGACCCAGGCCGGCGCACGTATCACAGCCGAGGGCGAAAACTCCGACACACACGCACACGCACGCACACACACACACACACACACGCCAACGGTCGTGATTGTTCCGCGACGCGAGCACGTCTTGCCATGGGGGCCAAAAGTCCATCCCTATAGGCCTGTTCCCGGGTGCGTTCCAACCAGAATCTCAAGGCGGGTCCAGCCGTGGCGACGAGGACCTCCCAGAGGCCCAGGGAGGGCGAGGAAAGACAAGAGTTCGAGCCTGGGTCCTGGAGTCTCCGGCGGGGAGGAGCTCTGGAGCCCGAGGCCCGCCGCCATCCTCGCTGCAGCGCGAAGGGTTGAGTGGCGGGGGCCCGCGCGTGCAACCCTGCAGCGGGAGCCGCCCCCGCGCGAGCCGCCGCCCACCCGCCGCACATGCGCGGCCGGCCGCCGTAGGAATGGCCGCCGCTGGAAGGCCCACCGGCCGGCCGCTGCCCTCGGTCGGAGGCGCTTGCCCAGAGATCCGAGGCTCCGGCCAGCTTTTGTTTGTTCGGCCTCCGGGGGCCCTCGCCGTGCCCCAGGGCGGCCAAGAGAGGCTTTGACTATACTTAGCTCGTTGCAAGTTAGCTTGAGCGCAGCGGCCAACAGGACTGGCACAGGCTGCACACGAGAAGCCCGAGAGCATGGACGCTGAGCTGCTTCCGCTTTCGTCCCGAAAACTGTCGGGAGAGAGGTATTGGCGCTGCGGGAGGGGAAGAGGGGAATCATATAAGGAATCATATAAGGGAGAGCCGGCCCTGGGGAAGTGGTCCAGGCCTCGGGGGGGTCCACGCATCGAAACCACTGGAGCGCCAGATGTCTGGGTACAGAAGGGCCCGCGCCGTGCAGCAGCCACGTCGGAAGGTTTCTGGCCGTTGGCGGCCTCCTGGGGACCCCGCTGGGCCCCGGGGCCGTCAAGAAAGGACTCTAGATGAAAAACAGGCCCTGCTGGGATCGGCGCAGGGGTTGCAAAAGAGACAGGGGTGGTTATCAGTTGATGCCAGGGCGGGGTACACGTGTCTCACCTTAGCTTATCAACTGGATTACAAGTGCCCCAAGTGGCTGGGGGGTGACGATCTGGACGAAGTGGGCTTTGCTCACGTAGCAGAGTTGACGAACCCTCCTCTGCCACGTGGGGCATTTGCAGCCCATTTCTATGCTAGTTCGGGCCAGATATAGCCCACCCCTATATCCCCGATTCCCTTAGCAACCCCGCGCCGATCCCACGTCGTGGAAAAGTCACGACGGGAGATCTCTTGTCGTCAAGATGGGTCGCACATACTCATTCGTGCGGTGGTGGTCCCCAGACATCATCCCTTTTTCATTTACGTGGACAGTGTGCGGGTGCGCATGTCGGGCGCCTATCATGCTGTGGGTTTGGCTTGCACTACATGTGGTTGTGAGCGGAACCCGGCGAAGTGTTGCATGGTGCTAGCATTGTGGAACAGAGTTCCCGCGAGTGTCTTAGCAAGACGCCCCCGCCCCGCGTAAATATTGGCGTCGTAATCTTTGGGTGTGGGCAGGAGCGCAAGGAGGAGGAGGATACGGCGGCTACGGGAAGGTCGAGTCTAAAGGATTGGGCACAAGAAAGGGTGGAAAGAACCGAGGTGGACCAGGAGGTGATGACGGGAGCGGAAGCGGGGGAGACAAAGGACGGGATGGTGAACGTCGTCGTTGGCCCCTAATTTGACCCCATGATGAGACCCACCGGGCATGCCACATCGTCAAAACAACATGTCGAGTTTCCATCCACGCATTGAAAGAAGCTTGGGCCACACATCGAAATGAACAGAAAGCACAAGAACCCGTCAGCAGGCACTTACCCAAAAGATGATCCGGATATCCAGAAGCGCTAGAGCAGGATCCGCAAGCCCCAAGAGGGCCAGTCGGCAATTCTTGAACATTTTGAAGCTTTCCAGGAACAGTATGATGAAATCGAAGGTCAGACCAGCAAAGATGAATTAGATGTCGGGGAAGCTCGGAAGGCAGTGCAGCCACTTGGGGCAGGAGGCATGCAAGAACAAGATCTCACACAGGCTCCAAACTTGCTTGTTCTGTCCTCTGTAACAATACGCTCGTGGTGTATTCTGTCTCCCAAGCAGTTGGCCTCTTCCTTTGTGTCGCACTCTGGTGGTACTGACCATGATCGTGGAGTGATGTCTAGTAGCCAGAACGCTGGTGCGTTGTGTTGCCATTCTTCCGCTTGGCGTTGTAATTTTTGCGTCTTGTGGAAGATGTCGTGCTCGTCTTTGGCGTCGCAGATCTGTCAGATTCTGTGGTAGTCTGTCTCTTCGTCTCCACTTTCGCAGTCTGCTGTGCCTTCTCCGAAGCATTCTCGTTGTTTTGCTCGTGTCCAGGTCCCCGCGCATGATGCTATCAGCAGCGCGCCGTGCTCTGTAGTTACTGTGTCGTAGTAGCCACTCCAGGTGCCGTCGCAGGTCGGTGGTATCTACCCCGCTTGCTTCCAGGCCTCCTCCGTTGTGGTGCTTTGCTGCGGTCGTCCAGAGGTAGTGGGCGACGTCTGACATGAGTGCGTCTATGATGTCGGTGGGGTCGCCTTGCTCGCAGTCGACGGGGTACTTCCAGTAGTTATTGTTCTTGTCGATCCAGGTATCGGGCCCTCGTCAGTCCCATCCTAGCTCTGATAGCGTCAGGGTGATGGCGGCAATGGGGTCTCTCTTCTTCTTCCTCCATCGATGCTGTTCATGACACCGAGGAGGAGGAGGAGGAGGAGGAGGAGACACCGTCGGCCTCGGCGCCTCGCCTTGCCCAATTTCAAACCCTATGGAGCCAGCTGCCCGCGCAGGGTGCGGGTCTTGGTTCCCGTCCTTCGTGCCCGGGGGCGTCGTGCTTCGCCGTGTCGGCGACCGCCAAGGGCAGCAGCACGGGGAGGGTTCTCCCTGTCCTGAACCCACTGGGTCAGTCGCGACGGCGACCTTGACGCTGGACGGGCGGGGCTCCCTGGGGGTCCGGGGACGCTCGTCGGGGAGAGCCCCGGCGGCGGGAACGGCCACGGCGACGGCCACTGCGGCGGCGGCGGCTGCGTCGACGCCAGAGCCCGGCCCTCGGCCGCGGGCGGGCCCCCGAGGCGCGCGGCCGCCGCCCTGGCTCTGCTCGGGCACGGCGCGCGGGCGCAGGTGTACAAGCTGCAGGACGCGCGCGCACTGTTCCCAGACCCCCATGGCGTTGCGAGCAAGTCGCGGCGGGAGGTTTGTCGCTATCTTCGGCTTCCGGGGGGCCCTCACCAGGCCCCGGGACCGTGAGCAAAACGACTGAGGATGAGCAGCCGGTCCCGGGGAAGGAGTCCAGCCGTCTGGGGGACTGGGGGTCGACGTAGCGAAAGAATCACGACGTTGGGGGTCGGGGCTTCGCATGCATATATACGTCACCACCCACCAAACCACCCCAACCCAACCCGAAGGTTCAGATTTACCCTCGATTTCTAGTGGGGGGGGGGTCGGGAAACCTCGAAAAAACACGCGTGGAACCCTTACCCCCCCCAACCCGAAAATCGGGTCTTCGGGTTGGGTTGGGGTGGTCTGGTAGGTAGTCAATACGGTAGGTTCGCGTCGTGCCGGCCCGGCGGCCACCCCGCCGCGGGCGTTCAAGCTTGGGCGCAGCAGGCGTCCTGGCATCGTCCAGTATGAAACGATCTGGCGGTCGAAAGACCGCCGACCGTGCAGGGTTGAACGATCCACGCGCGTCAGAAACCAACGCCGGGGTGGACACGACACGAACCCGCGGTATATATCTCGTTCCTTTCTTTTGCCCTTCCCCTTCCTCCCCCTGTGTTCGACGATGGCAAGCCGTCGCGTGCAGTTGACGTCCCAGCCGGTGGTATGTCGCGACCGTGTTTTGGGGTCGCCGCTGCGGCCTGGGCGGCACAGCGCTGCAATAGCGCACCATCGGCCTTCAACCCCTTGTCGATTGGGGTTGCGGATTTGTTCCCCGATTGGCTCAAGAAGCGGACGGCACGCGCGCGAGCTAACAGGCCAACGTCGGAGCATGTGGATGGTGCGACGGAAAGACCGCTGCGCACCTGCAGCATGGGGCCGGTTCGGGTCGGTTCGGCAGCGGGCTGGTTCGGCTGTAGCGGTTCGGGTTCGGCGCCAGTTCGGTCTGAGCCGATTCGGCTTTGCCTCGGGGCGGTTTGCTTTCGGCGGGCCGGTTCGGGTGATCGAAAGGTTGGCGCGCAGCACTTCACGGGGGTCTTGGGGCGTCCGGGGGGGGCCGGGTCGCCCACCCTCGAGCACCGAGGGGTCCGGGTTTTCGTTCTCTGGAGGGGCACGGGGGTCAGAAGTCCAGGCCCGGACCTCCTGCAGGCCCGGGCCCCTTGGGCGTTGCGTAATGGGGGGGTCATAAATGGGGGGGTGGCGAGGGTGGTCCGAAAGGGTACCCAAACGGTACCTAAACGAGCCCCCTGGGGCTCTGGAGGGGCCCGAAAGGGGCACGACAGGGGACCGTTTCTGACCCCCCCATTTGTGACCCCCCCACTAAGCCACGCCCAAGCCCCAGGTCCGGGCCCCAGGTCCAGGCCTCGGGTTGCGTGTTCGTGGGAGGGATCGCTTCGCATCGCGCGGCCGCGGCCGGATCCCGGGGGCGAAGCGCGCCATGTCTGCGGTGGGCCTCGAAGCCGCGACCGCCGAGGTATTCGTGGCGGAAATCCTTCGCACAGGCTTCGGGGCGCCAGCGGCGTCCACGTCATCGTCCTCCGTCGTCGGCTTAGTTTTCGGTGGCCGTGTCCGTGGCCGTTGCCGTGGTGGCAGGCGTGGTCGTCGTGGTCGTGGTGATAGGCGTAGTGGCGGTCGTGTTCGCAGTCGTCGTCGGTCGTGTTGGTCCAGGTGCCGGTGATGGGCGCGGGGGTGATCGACAATGTCATCAGGCGTATTCGGTGATCCTCGTCGTCGCCGCCCTCCTTCAACGTCAGAGGGGGCAGGACGTTTTCGTCGTCGTCATCCTCCAGCCTTTTTGGCTCGTCGTCGTGATTGCCTTCCTCTTGCGGAGAGCTAGAGGAGCCCGAGAAGGAAAACGGGACACTACAATAGCAGGAAGTACGCCTGGGGCGTTGGACCTGGAGCGGTAGTCCACGTCGTCGCGGGTCGTCGTCGTCATTCGTCTCCGTCACCGTCGTTCGTCGGTGTCGCCGTCGTTGTTGTCGTTGTCGGTCGTCGTTGTCGGTCTTCGTTATCGTCGTCGTCGTCATCGTCGTCGTCTATCACTGTTGTCCGTCTTCGCGCTCGTCCTCCCCGAGGCACGAGGGCAGGACCTAGTCGGTCGTCGTCGTCGTCGGTCGCCGTCGTCGTTGCAGGTCGTCGTCGTTCGTTGTCGGCCGCCTTCGTCGATCGTCTTGATCAGCGTGGTCGTCGTTACTGCCGTTGTCCTGCTCTTTTTGGAGGCAGGAGGAGGACGACCCACAATCGACCGACCGACCGACGACGACGATGACGAAAACTACGAAAACCAGGACGATCACGACGACGACGAAGACGACGACGACGACGACTACTACGGAAGCGGAAAGGGGCGACGACAAGCATGTGTACAAGAAATTGCCACGTTGCCATGACCATGGGCGTACCCTACGCGTTGGATACGCGTGTGCACTCCAGACTATCATAATGCACCCATATCAGCATCCAACATTACCTCTCTCACACACACGCACGTCCGTGTCGGAGTCTCCGCTTGAAGGATTTGGAGATCTCTCGGCGAAGGGTGCGGCCATGCACCTGGACGTGACCTGCATCTTAATTCTCTGACGTAGATCCCAAAAACCTGCAGAACCTGCTGAAGCCACCGAAGTCACAGTCTCCTATGACCTTCCGCAGCGTGCGTAGGACGTGACGTGGCAATGCACATTGTGAATTTGGATGAGGATGGGGAGGGGAGAAGGAGATTTACAAGAAGCAGAAGAATGAGAATGTGAATGAGGATGGGGCGGGGGAAGAAGGAGAAGAAGGGTATGGAGGAGGAGGAGGAGGAGGGGGAGGAGGAGGAGGAGGAGGAGGAGCAGGTGGTGGAGGGAGTAGGATATGGAGCAGGAGCAGGTGGTTGAGTAGAAGGAGAAGGAGGGGGCCTCCTCCTCCTTCTCGTACTGGGCGCCCTGAAGGGGGGTCAGGAGCATGGCACCGTGATCACTGTATCCCGGGTCCCCGGGCTCGGCTGGGACCGCATGCGTGGGGCAGCCGTGGCCTCTCGCGGACATCATGGCCTACCACGATTGTTACGGCCTGCTTCTGGTGCCAGTCGTGGCTCGGGACGTCGACCTGGATCTTGCTGAAGGACGCCCCCGTGTAGTGCCACGTTCGGAGAGCGTAAAACGGCGTAGACGTACGCGAGGATTTCCGAAAGTGCATGTGCAGACGCCGTCTCTGCTTCTCGAGATAACTATTGCGGCTGCCGCAGTCCGTCTACACAGGTGTTGCGTGCGGGAAGCGTTATACCCGAACCCACCGCGCGAGCGAAGGGAATGTTAACAGGCGCTCGCACCGTAGGTAAATTCGCAACAGTGACCGTGGGGGATTCTCTCGCCACGTGTTGGGACACGTGGTCGCGCCAGGAGTTGTGCATGGAGGAGGGTTTTAGACTTATGTCCTTGAGTTGCTCCGACAACCTGCTCACATTCGCTGACAGCAAGAAATGCTATGAACACAAGGTGCGACATTAAGACGGGCATCGCAGCCATCCACGGCATGAAGATCAAGCCAGGCAGTCGCGATTTGATTACAGCAGCTTGCTCGATGCGCGATGCAAATGTCTGGATCGACGATTTTGGAACGAGATTCTTCGCTAGATCCTGGATTTGGATCGCGAGCTACTTTACGATTCAGCGCGTCGCACTGCGCCAGAAGGTGCGCCTCCTCGACAACACTGCCGTCGGCATCATCAGATCACGAGCATCCTCATGGAGTCTGTCGAATGATGTTCGCGCAACCCCCGACAAATGCCAAAACAAGCTGTTCGTCTGGATGCGCATGCAAGCGATCAGCTCACCGTGAGCAGAGCTAGGGAGGTCGAGAGTATGTGTATGTAGGCTTGTTGCTAAGCTGGGTGCCGCACGTAAACAACCATATCCAGATGGTGTCATCTTCCACCCCATCGTGTGGCAAGGCAGAGGATGGGTCGAAAGTCGCAGACAGCACGGCTACTACACCGCACGGGGCTGGACGATACGGACTCGCACCCGGGCTTACCGTGGACGAGCCTTCTGTTTCAACCAGGAGAAAATGGTGGACCGAGAAGTGCAGCCCGGACGGTGGACGCAAACGCGCGGAATTTAGGGCACATGCTTCAGCGCTTTGGAGACAACAGCCATCGCAGCTTCAACTCCCAGCACTGGGCAACATTCTGTTCAAGCTGCGGGTCACCACGCTTCGAGAGAGTGCCGTCATCTTCATCACCACTTTGCCTCTCCATCATATCCCATCATCCGCGTCATCCTCGTCATCCTCGTCATCCTCATCCTCCTCTCCTATCTCTGCATCCTTCGTCCCCACCTCCTCCTCCTCCTTTTCTTCCTCCTCCTCCTCCTCCTTCTCTTTCCCCTCCTCACCCGCCTCACCCTCATCATCATCAGCATCATCAGCATCAGTATCATCCTCTTCATTATCAGCATCAGCATCAGCATCAGCATCATCATCATTTCCATCATCATCATCATCATCATCATCATCATCATCAGCATCAGCATCAGCATCAGCATCCATCACCATCACCATCACCATCACCATCATCATCATCATCATCATCATCAGCATCATCATCATCATCATCATCATCATCATCATCATCATCATTAGCAGCAGCAGCAGCAGTATCATCAGCATCATCATCAGCAGCATCAGCAGCATCATCATCAGCATCTTTGTCATCATCATCAACATCAGCATCATCAGCATCATCATCATCAGTATCAGCATCAGCATCATCACCAGCATCACCATCATCATCTACATCATCATCATCATCATGATCAGCATCATTCTCATCATCATCATCATCATCATCATCAGCATCATCATCATCATCATCATCATCATCATCATCATCATCATCATCATCATCATCATCATCATCATCATCATCCGTAGCCATGTTGGCTCAAGCGAGCGTCGGTGCGGGAGGCCCTAGCAGTGCGCGAGCGGTGCACGCGAGCGGGCGTTCCAGTGGCCATGGATGGACGGGCGTGGGCTGTTGCTAGCGCCCGCACGCTGGCGCGGCGGCTGCGGCGTCAGCGCTGGCAGGAGCGGGGGCAAACGCGGGCGGCTGGGCTGGTCTGCAGGGCGAGGGATTAAGCGAGGCTTTGGCCGCGCATTGGGCGCTGGGCGACCGCCTGGGCAGCCATACCCCCTGTTTGAGGGAGGCGGTGGCCGTTGGGCGGTTGCTGGACTGTCCCAGCGGAGGTGCTCGCGGAGGCGCAGGAACACGAGGCCCAGGGGAACTGGGCGAGGCACGCGCCACCCCCATGCCGCGCGCGCCTGCCAGGGCCGCCGCCCGGAGCAGCGCGGGCGGACGAGCTGAAGGCTTCGCTGCCGGCGGAGGCGGCGGGCCAGCCCTGGCCAGCGCGGACGGCGCTGGCCCCGCCGCGGCACTATTTGCCGCCCGACTCGAAGCCATTCGGCGAGCAGGCGGCGGCGGTGGCGGCGGCGCCCTACCTCGCGGAGGAGGCCTTCGACGATCAGGCGGCGGCGGTGGCGCCCAGCTTCGCGGCGCCCTTCGGCGAGCGGCGGCGGCGCCGCGCGACCTGGCGGAGGGGCTCCTCGGCGAGCAGGCGGCGGTGGCGCCGCCCTACCCCGCGGAGCCCCTCGGCGAGAAAGCGGCGGTGGCGGCGGCGGCGACCCCTTTCCTCGCGGAACCCCTCGGCGAGCAGGCGGCGCCGCCGCCGCCCTACTTCGCGGAGCCTTTCGGCGAGCACTTCTTCGATTGGATCGACGACTCGGAGCTCTTCGGGCCACGGGGGCCGACTCAGAGAGCGCAGTTCCTCGACCGCGCCAGCCTTGACGCGCTGGCGGCCACGTCCACGGTGCACTGCGACGCTGTAGGCCAGGCCAGGGACGACCACGCCGCAGGGCGCGACGTGGACATGGACGAGTACATGTGCGCAGTGAGGGCCGAGACCCAATGGCTCTCGGCGACGGACTGAGACTGGTGTAGTTTTGGGGTGCGTTTGCGCGGAAGCCCTGGGGAGGGGGCCCAAGTACCCCGTGCGTGAGTGAGCCTGCCGCTGCGCCGTGCCGAGACCGATCGAGGTCTCCCGCGAGAGGCGGGGGACGCAGTGGAGCATTGTAGCTGGTTGGAGAGTTCGGAGGGGGCCGCGAGTCGGCGGCTGCCCCCCCCACTCGGGAGAGCGGGATCATCATCATCATCGCCATCGCCATTGCCCCTGTGGCCACCAGCCTCGTCACCAGAATCATCCTTAACTGCATCCTCCCCCTCGTCATCATTATCAGCAGCATTGCGCGTGGGAGGGTAGCGCGGGCATTAAGCACGGCAGCGGAGAGGCGCGGTGGACGTGAGCGCCTCGGCGCCGACCCCCCTTGGATAGCGGGGCCATCAGCGGCGCCGTCGGCATCATAACCCTCTTCCACAGCCTCGACGTCATCATCTTCGTCATCGTCGTCAGCATCAACGTAACCATCTTCTTCTGCCTCAGCAACCTCATCGCACCCATCATCACCACCAGCAGCAGCAGCGAAACCAGCATCACATTTCTCCTCTTCAGCATCAGCATCACTATCAGCATCGTAATCATCACCATCATCAGCATACGCATAACCTACATACCACCATCGTCATCAACGTCATCATCAGCAACAGCGTCTGAACCCCACCTTCGTCATCATCATCGCTTCCATCCTCAAGCTCATCGGAATCATAGCTTTCATCCGCAAAAGCGTGGTCAACAATCCCACCATCATCATGGACAGCACCATCCTCATCGTCACGTGCATCATTATCAGCGACACCAGCATGGTCAATCTCAGCATCACCACCAGCGTCGTCATATTGGTTATCATGATACTATGCGTTATCATGGTATTCATCATGACCATCATCATCGTCACCATCAGTGCCGTCATAAACATCTTCGTCACCATCAGCATCATCATGATCACCATCACCATCTTCATAGTCAGCATTATCATCCGCATCATCACCACCGCCGCCATAGTCATCAGTATCGCCATCGTCATCATCATCCTCGCCCGCATCACATGTTTCGTCGGCATCCCCAGCGCCATCATTATCGCCCGCATCATCATCATCATCATCATCAGCATCACCATCATTAGTATCATCATCATCGTACTCATCCCGTTTCTCCCGCCCCCCCTTCCCTTCCTTTTTTCCCATCATCCCGCCATCTTTTCCTTCTCGTCATCCTTTCCCTTCCGTCTCCCAAATACTCCCACCCTTCCACCCCGTTTTGGCGCGCGGGCTCTGGAGCCGGGGGCAGTGTTGGCCAGTGAATGTTGGCGCAGAGGGGCTGCGGTGGCCGCGCGATGCAACCAGGTGCCAAACGAGCACGGCCCTGTAGGCACAGTCAGTTCCCGTGGCGTGTCCTCTCTCCTGGGCGAAAGTCTGCAATGCTCTTGCCGAGGTATTGTAACACCGATGCGGCCCGAGATTTCGATCCAGCGATGCCGCCACCTCTTTCTTCTCCCCCTTATTTTTTCCTTCTGCCCCCCCTCCCCCCCTCCTCCCGCCTTCTTAAGTGCGATTGGCTCGCGTCGTGTCGACTTGCAGCGACACCACAAGCCGGCGTTCAACGTTGAACGCTGCCGACGACCTAATCGGTCGATGTTGAACGGTTGTAAATTTTGGACAGGCCGATCTTTTGAGGTTGAACGATCCCCGCGGTGTCAGGAACCAACGCTGGGGTCGACACTGCGCGAACCCGCGGCGGGTATACTCCCAGCCCCCCTCCCGGCGAAGGATGTGGCCATGCCCATGGGCATGAGCTATTCGCTGGAGGTGCCAGGCGTGGACCTGAACAATGTGTTTTGGCGCGATGTCGTGGGCCGTTGTCGTTTCGATGTCGCTGTGCCGCAACGTGGGAACACGAAAGCAACACCAAAAACCGAAAAACACTGTTTAGGTCGATCCCCCGGGAGGTGCTGTACACCTTCTACGTCTTCAGTCACGACGACTCCCCCGAGCCGGCACCGCCCTCGGCCTCTGCTCCCAGCCCTGCCCCGGGGGGTGGTGCCGAGGGGTGTCACCGCTAGAAGCAGGGGCAACGATAATCGGGAGCGGCAAAGAGGAGGGTGATGACTAGGGGGGGGATATCATTGCGGGGGCCATGATATCTCCCCAGCTTTTATGGCCCCTTTTCTTATTCCATTGCGTCCCTGGCCCACCCGCTGGGCCGCGCACATGCCGCCGGTCATGATTTGCACCCCGCCCTCTTGGACCCCCCCCCTCTTGGTCGCTCCCGAGATAAGGAAGGGGGTGCCCGCCGGACGTTGAAAGCAGGCATTGTGTTGTTGGATGTCCAAGCCCCAATCCGCTTTAGGCGCCTGCCTCTATCGAGAGCGGAGTGGTCTTCCCTCTTCCCTCGTCCTCGGGGGGCGGGCGGAAGCTCAATCTAATTCCAGCGCCTTCCTACTTCATGATTATACCTACTTTTCCCGACTGACGGGCAGGGGGGGGGATAGGCGTATGGTGGGATACATCGACCCCCAATCGTCCTTTCATCGCCGGTAGGTGCCCGATCGCCCACCCCCACCCAGGAGCGTGCGGACTCACTATCGGGGGCCTAACGCCGATCTATCGGCGAGGTATCGCCGATTCCAGGTCGAGTTTCCCCCCTTATGACAGTCCCCCCATATCTAATGACCTTCGGCCCATCACGCCACCGTGCTTGGGTTGTGGGTATGAAGCCTGTTGGATGTTCGTTGTGACCTCGTGGGATGCCTCTCGGCGCCCTCTTGGAGGCAGTTTGGAGGCCTCTTAGGGGGCCGTTTTGGGGCCTCTTGGGCCCCTTTGGGGCATCTCGGGGGCCTCTAGGGGCCTCTTGGGGGCCTCTGCGGGGCCTCTATGCGGCATGTTGGGCGTCTCTTGGGCCATCCTGGGGGGGTATGTTTCCTCTCTTGGGCCCCTGTTGGGGCCCCCTTCGGAGCCTCTTGGGCCGTTTTGGGGTGGTCTCGGGGGCCTCTTGGGCCATCTTGGAGCGTCGGAAAGCCGAAAAGGCGAGAACGCCCAAATCCTTCAAAACTTTAGGGACAATCAATGATGGCTGCCTCTGGGGGCCCTCTTGGGGGGCTTGTTGGACCCCAAGAATTGCGGAAATCTGGTACTGAGGTTCAGGGGATTGGGCAAAGGACCTGAGGACACGCCCAATCCGCCCCTGTGCCAGTCCCCCCCCAGCATTACCCCCCAGCTAGGGGGGTCACCACCTCCTGCTGGAAATCAGGGTTCCAAGATTGGTGCAGCGCTGGGGTGCGCACAGACCGGCACCCCCCAGGCAGTCCCAGCCGGCCTCAACATGCCCCCCGAGTAGTCCCAACTGGCCTCAGCAAGCCCCCCCAGCTTCAACACCCGAACCTGGGGGCACGGGGCGCCGCCGGCGGCGGACTCCGGGGGGGTCGAGACCGCGAGGGCCTGTTGAGGCCAGCCGCGATTGCGGTCATGGCGCCGAAACAGGGTCCTGTTCGGAAGGGGGCTCGGTGGTCCCTTGGGTCAGTGCTCCTTGAGTCATGGCGCGCGCGGAGTCGATTCACCGCACTGCGCGGATGATCCAATGCAGCGACGAGGGAATGCCTCCCAAAAATGGCTTGGCCGTTCCTTGGCAATGAATGTTTCTATTAAAAGGGGCTTCGTTAGCTATTTAACCTTCCTTCCGGCAGTGCCACGACTGCACCTGTGGGGGAGCTGTGTTGCTGTGTTGCGCGCAACCCGAAGCCTTACTCCAGATTTTGTAATAAAAGAGAGGGGGTCACAACCCTCCCAGTCGAACAAACTTAGACCCCCCCAGACCCGCCATGAAATGGCGGCCTTTCGCCCAGACCCACAAGAGCAGACCCCCCCAAATGTGACCCCCCCCACTTTGTGATGTAATCCTGAGCACCACTCGGCGAGGTGTTTGGTCGTTTGGGGTCTTTTTGGAAGGCTCTGGAGCGTCCTTGGGGGCCCGTTCCCTCGGGGAGACCGCGCTCTCCTCGAGAAAGTGGCGACCCCCCGCTGATGACCCCCCTCGGCACTGCCCCAGAATCTGGCGGGGGGGGGGCTCGGCCCGCTTTCGAGGTTCGAGGATCCAGGTTTTGTTCGCGGAAGCTTTCGGCAGCGGCGCCCTGTGGGGCTCCAGAAGCCTCTCACAGAGGCCTCCGGGGACGACGTGCTGCTTCTCCTCGTGTTGTTGTTTATCCTCCTACTCCCCAGCCGTAGAAATTTCGGCTCAAGACGGGAGCTTACGTCCCCGTCCCGCTTCCAGAGGCTCGAGGTCGAGGCGGAAGGGTGGCGCCTTCCCAAGGCCTGATTGCATCAACCTAGCATTTTTGTGAGCTCCTGGCGGGGCAAAGCTGTCGCCTCGTCGAGGCATTCGTGAGCTCCTGACGGAGCAGGAAGAAGCAGATCTGGCCAGCGGATGGCCCCGACCCCTGATGAAAAGGAGTGGGATGTCTTGTTGGGCCCGAGGAAGCCCGAGTGGACGTGTGGTTCATGCGCGCGTTTGCGCAAGTGGGCGTCGAGGATCACAGATGCGAGTGCGGGCGGTCGGCGCCTGCACACATCCGTGCCCGAGCTGCCATTGCCAATAAAGTTGCGTTGCAGCAGCTGGAGAACAGTGGTAGCAACGCCCGTGGTAAAAGGCAAAGGACGTGACAAAGCGGAGAGCAAAGGCAAACACAAAGGAGACAAGCTCACGGCGTTGGAGAAGAAGTTGGGTTCTTTGGTCGTTTCGTTCACCAATACGAGTTCTACACAACCTCCGTCGACTCCACCGTGGACGTCGGGGGCAGCTGCCCAGGCCCAAGAGGCAGCCGGTACAGCGGCTTCTGATTGTGATGAAGGGTGACGAGATAAAGTTGCGTTGCCAGTTCAGGAGTTGGGAGCGTCGATCAAGTCGATGGCACAAGATGGCGACTGCTAAGGCATCCGGGGCAGCATGGAGAAGAAGCTCGCGGCCATGCTGGACAAGCATAAGCAGCTGCGGCCGCCGCAGACGGCCCATCGCCGAGCTGCGCGGGATCGCAACACGGCGAAGGTGGCTGTCGAGTAGATGGCGAAGGACTTGGCGGAGAAGCGTGACCAGTATGAGAAGTTGCGTGTATCGATCGAGGATCGTGAACAACCCTTGGCCGCCAAGAGGGGGCAGGTGGTTATCTTGCAAGCTGAGTTCGACAGGAGGGCGTCGCTGGTCTCAGGCAAAGTAGGTGGCGGAGACGACGACAAAGTACCAGTACCAGGATCAGTGCTGCTCCATGACACAGGCACCTTCAAGCAAAATCACCCCTAGGCTGACGCTTTCCTCGACAGCGAGATGTGGACGAAGTTGCAGGAGCACACCCGCGTTGTGCCCAAGGAGGCGACCCCCGACATGGGCTCTGAGGGCGCTGCTGCTGCTGGTGCAAATGGCGATGGCGCTCGGGCTGCTGCCGAAGGTCCGCCAGACCGAGAGGATACTGCTCCCGACGCTGCCAAACACAAGCGCAACAATGAGCTCAGCGAACTTTCTGATGAGGAACGAAAGAATCGCTGGGCCAACTGCAATAGCTTCGGGAAATTCCACTGCGAAGTTGGAGAAGCTCCAAAACACCAAGAGGGCTCGGCATTCCTGACGTTGCTGCGCCAGGTGCGCTTCGTGGGCGTATTATGTCGGATATTTCGCCTTATTCGAATGAGACGAGATGGTCGAACGCCAGACAGGCTGCAGCTGTTGCTCGCCCACTTAGCGGCGAGGGGAGTGAGAACGCACGGCGCACCTTCCGCGCACGGCCGACTACTGAGGGCGCCGCGCCGTTGGCGCCGCGCCCAGCCCATGGAGCGCGCGCCCCTGCTCCTGTGCGAGCGCACGGTGACAATGGTTGCCCGTTGCCGCTCGTGACAGGGTTTCGCCCGTCAGCCCCCCCCCCCCCCCCCGCCCTCGCAGCCTGCCGGTGGGGAAGACACGGGTGAGCACGTGATAGGGGGCCCTCAATTGCAGCGTTGGCAAGGGCACTCTTAAGGAGAGACTGAAGACAACCCGAGCCTTAGTGTTGGCAAGACTTCGGACGTTTAGTTGATCAGGTTGAGGCGGTTCAGAGTTGTGCGCAGGCACGTGGATGCAGTCCCATGACGCCACCCCCTGTCCGTCTGCAGGCAATGTGCCCTGCGCAGGCGTAGCAGCCTTTGCGCGTAGCGCGCGCGGCTTGCGCACGTCGCAGTTAGGGTGTCATGGAGTGCGCGAGCATCGCGCGCAGCATGTTCAGTTCGATATCCCAGGTTGGCCCTCGCTCCACCTTGTCAACCTATATCTCTATCCAAGCATAGGCCCTCAGGGCAAGACTGCCATGCTGGCGGCCGCCTTGGGCGTTGTTATTGAGAGCGTCGAAGGGCCATGCGCTGTTGGAGGTGGTTGGAACATGTGCCCTGATGAAGTCAAGGCGTCAGGCTTCCGTTGCTTTGCAGGTTGCTATCTGGTTGTTGCAACGGAGCTGCGTACATGTCGCGGTGGCGCAGGTTGCTTGGCGATCCATTTGCGCGGGTTCAATGATCCGCGCATGCGCGCGCACAGGCATGTTAACTTTGACGTGCGATGGTCGATGAGGCCGCGCAGACCTGTGCTGCTAGCCCTAGCCCTCCAAGGTCACCGCGCGCAGCATTTAGTATATACTGCAGTCCCTGCTCTGCCAATTCCACCCCCCCCGTTCGAACCTCAGCCCTCGCCGCCTGAGCGAGGGCCTGCTAGGGGGTCGCCGGCGAGCGATCAGAAGGCCGATCCAAGAATAGCGCATCAACTATTCAGTTCTAGTCGGCAAGTTTGCCCAGATCGCTGCTGGGCACGTCGGCGCCTGCACTGGGGATACGAAAGATAACTTCGGTTGCTCCGGGCGCCAAGTTGCACCGCGCCGGGCCAGAGTCGAGTGCCCCGTGCCTGACGAGAGCGAGAAGCGTTTAATTGCTGGGGTCACGAAGGTTCAGAGCGTTGCCTCGCCCACGGTTGTGCACGCCCCTAAAGGTCCAG